TATATATATATATATATATATATATATATATATATATATATATATATATATATATATATATATATATATATATATATATATATATATATTGAACATGACAGTTCATGATCGCAGTTCATATTAGTCAAGACATGTTTATATATGTAACCTGTTATACACTCTGCATGTACAGTCAGAAAATTTTTCTCGCGCAGGAAGCGGGTTAACTCCAGCGACCTCCACAACGCAGTAGCCTATAACCTAACCATCATTACTTACCCTTCTATATTCTAAACAAATTATTTTGTCCTTCGTTACACGAGACATATTTATAAAAAAACAAGCGATGTTTATTTCTTGTGGTTGTTCCCGTTTTTACCCCCATAAAATAACATTATGTGATCGGTAAATTTAAAGTGAAAGTCAAGTCCGTAATGTAAGCAAACGGTTTGTTTACATTTTGAACTGCTGTATTTTTTAAAATATGATGTACTGTCCGAATATCTAACACCATTTTAGTACGCTATGCTTCTAAATGAATATGAAATAGAGTTTATATTCAGAAAAATTCGAAACATCCGAAATTTGGGCAATGTTCACGTTAGAGGGTCCTCACATTGTTATGAGCAGAACCGATGCGCAGAACGGACTTTACTTCCACTTTAATTTATAGCCTTGGACTATGATTTGCTTAAAAGAATATTTCATGTTTCACTGTCTTTGATGTCTATATATATATAACATGGCCTTTTAATCGTTTAAGTTTCATCTTTAAAGCTTGGTTTCGAGTCCACTTTGATTAATCAACATGCACTAATAAGTTTAGTAAAATTAAATTTTGCTTGATTTTAATAAAACTACGGTAGCTAACTAGTTTCCAAAGACCATGATCAAAAGTGAGAAATATTTTTCCTTTCATGTCTGAATTTATTTTATCAAAATTAACATTATTAATAAATAAATAATACCTGGCAATAAACATGCAGTCGAGGGAAGATTGAAGATGAAAATAATATATAAAACAGTAAAAGTTTGAATTTTTTAATTAATTACACTCTTAAAAAAAGGTGTGCTAAAGCAACACACCTTTTATGTCCAGAAAACAACACGCCTTAAGGTGTGTTACAGTAGCACACCTTAAGGTGTGTTTTATGCTTGTCCAGAAAACAACACACCCTTAGGTGTGTTTTGAGAAAAGGTGTGTTTGTTAGCACATCTTGGTGTGTTTCTGTAACACACCTTAAGGTGTGCTGCTGTATTAAAGGTGTGTTACAGTAGCACACCTTAAGGTGTGTTTTATGCTTGTCCAGAAAACAACACACCTTTATTAGGTGTGTTTTGAGAAAAGGTGTGTTTGTTAGCACGTCTTGGTGTGTTTCTGTAACACACCTTAAGGCGTGCTGCTGTAACACACCTTAAGATGTGCTACAGTAACACACCTTCAGGCGTGCTGCAGTGACACACCTTAAAGTGTGCTGCTGTAACACAACTTAAGGCGTGCTGCTGCAACACACCTGATTGATTAACCTTAGAAATCAATAAAGACATTTTTAAGTCAAAATAAATTATTATCCCTCTATACATGGTATACAGTATTATAACACGAAATACGATTTGCTTTAGCATATAATGATACATTCGTACGCTCGATAACATTCTTTGAATGCAGTTCTAAGTTCAAATTTTTACTGATGATATCATGGGAACATGTGTATAATATGATGAATTGCGGGATGTTGCAAATAGCCAATATTAAATATAGGAGACAATCAAGAGCCTACTCTAGTAAGGCAATAATAGCAGACTGATCACTGGGTTTTTGAAGATGGATATTTCAAATGGAAACTGTACAGTTAACATGTGTTTCATAGAACTAACTGAGAGCATGTTTCGCTCGCTACTCTGGTTTAGTGTCTAGTGTCTAGTGTCTAGTGTCTAGTGTCTAGTGTCTAGTGTCTAGTGTCTAGTGTCTAGTGTCTAGTGTCTAGTGTCTAGTGTCTAGTGTCTAGTGTCTAGTGTCTAGTGTCTAGTGTCTAGTGTCTTCATCAAGGGTGATCTAAAGTTGCAATTGTCGCTTCTTAAATACCCAAGGGATGACGTCACCTGCCAATGAGATGCATGTAATATTAAGGTTGCCTTAAAACCCTATTTAACTTTAAGCCATATTTTCGCAGAGCCAAAAGACCCTGTTAAAACAAATCAGAAACTCATGCTGTATATTCTATACCATGCGGTGAATGCGAAAAAGAGTATTTGGGTCAGTCTAAACACCAGTTTGGTACATAGCTAAAAGAACATCAAAAGCCTGTTTCAACTTTAAACAAGGGAAAACCAGCTTTAGCAGAACATGTGTGTGACACCAAACACAAGATTGTGCGGGAAAACTCTAAAGTAATTACCACAAACAATCGCTACCATGGTCAAAGACTACGCCTAGAAGCATGGCGTATAAATATTAGTAATTATGCTGTGAATAGGGATAACAGTGCCTATATTTGCCAGAGGAATACATGCATCTCATTGGCAGGTGATGTCATCCCTTTGGTATTTAAGAAGCCACAATTGCAACTTTAGATGACCCCTAAAGAAGACACTAGACTGGAGTGTTGAAACGTTGGGTCTTGATTACAATTCGACTGGGCTTTGCAATCATAAATTTAAACCAGAGTAGCGAGCGAAACATGATTGATATACCTGGTTGCAGTGAACGAACAAACTTCAAATAACTCAGAGAGCAATTGCAAGTCTGCCAGCATGAACTGAACCTGCTGCCCTGCAATACTACTGCTGCCCTCTGACTTAAAGTATCTGTTTGCCAAGAGGTCACCACAAGTTGCTGTACATGTATAAACCATGGTGGTGTCAGTGGTAGTATATTAAATAAACTGGGATGACACTAGTATTATATACATGAACTCGTGGTGACCTTCATAGACTCTTGAGGCTTGATGGACTCTTTACCATTAAGTAGCTGATCCGAATCAGAGGGGTTCTATTCCCGGCAGAATAGTTATTACATAGTTATTGTTCAATATATATTTCCATCTACAGAAAGACTTTAACCCATTGAGTGGCAGCATACCTTGCATTGGACACAAAATAATAAAATAATAAAGTAGAGCACATTGCCACTTAAAGGGTTAAACATTCTGTTCAATCTTGAATATTTGCAAGTAAAATACACTGCATGTAGTGTCTGTGGCAAAGATTGGCAAACCATTTGGCAGACGCCCATGAACTTTCTTCGGAAGAAAGACAACCTTATCTTATTCGTGCTAAGCGAACAGCTTTAGACTTAGAAAATGTTTTAGCAGAGTTGTACAGATTAATTGGGAACAGTAAAAAGCAGTCAAAGTGGAATAAAAGCGGAATAAAGAATATACCCAACTGTCAACCAAAATCCTCCAGGAAGAGAACAAAATCGAATACAGAACCGGCAAAGAACGTGGACAATACAGAAATGAATGATGGTTCAAAGGAGCGGTTAAACAAAAACGGGATAAAACTCTTAAGTGGATAATATATTTATATAGACAAGAATTATTAACTTTGTAGCACTTAAAGAAATAAATGTGCTCTAAAAATTACATCATGTGCTTTTGCCTATATTTTATGACGCGCTCTGTGCCCACGCTTATAATAGTCCGGGATTATGCTACAATACCCCTATTATGATGTACATTGTACGCATCTTATAGCCAATGATCGTTTAACGACCGTAGGTGAATACAAATGGTGAACATAACAACGCATAGTAACGCGTTCATGTGTTTACTTCACTTGGTATATTTATTCATATTGCTCGTTGTGACGAATAGATTCCTCGCTACCATTTTGTAAACATACGAAAGTTAAATAGGCAATAATCACGACCAAAGTTTGTAACATTAGTCTCTCTGCAGACTTGTTCAAGGTTTAGTGATCATTGTATTTATATGAAACGATAAAGTTTGCCTATCAATATCAATTTCATTTCGTTCAACTCATCAAAAATTATATATATGTTATCCATTGACTGTGCTTGGATCAAATGTTTGGAAAATTTTGTAGCTAGGCTATGCCAACATTAATCCCTCTATTGTATCACACACGTGGGAGTGACGCTAAAAAAAGCCCAGTCAGCAAGTTTTGCCCGATCTTGCCCAAGCTTGCTCTCGTGACATCATTGCATATGTTAAATGAATACACTCCACCACCACACTCCATCTCATTCTATGCTAATGATGATGCGCCGCCCTGAATTTTTAATTAATGCTGCTCCGCCCTGAATTTTTAATGATGCTCCGCCCTGAATTTTTAATGATACGCCGCCTAGCACCACCCTATGCCGCCCTACAAAAGGGGGTCGAGCGGCCTCTATATTACTACTCAGGCACTTCATTCCCAACCACCATCTCTTTCATGGATTTGACATCGATAATCTTTTTTGAGTTACGTGGGAAAACAATTGATGCAATTCGTGCACCTTGTCGTAGGTAGTGTACCAGAGAAACTGCATCCATCCCTTTCTTGCGTTCATCCAACTCAAATCGTCTTTTGTCAATAACAAAATTCTCTACCTGTGAATCTGCAGCAATTCGGTTTTCCCCACTTTGGATTTGAGGTGGTAGATTAGCCTCAAATAAATATACTTGAAGACCTTTAATTTCAGTCTTTGGAGACCAGTCATCTGACATCAGCTATTAAAAGATATAAACAGTTGGTATCACCAACAGTATTGGTTTTATTTTACCCATACACACTCAACTGACCTGTGTTATGATTCCTCTAAGTTCAATATCTGCAACATCCTTTAAAGAATAAGTTGGAGGATTCTCTTTCCTATTATCAACTGTCCAGTAATGAATCACTGCTGCAGAAATACCCTATGTTGGACCATATGTAAGGACCACCATGTAGAATTGTATGTCCTATCATTTTTCCAAATGTTTCATAGGGCGCTTTCTATTTAATGTTTCCATTCCATGTAATTGTTTTCTCTGTGTCAATGGGAAGATCTGGTCTATGTTTCTCAAATACCTATCGAAAATGGACCTCATTCAAATGTTATCTAAATTTTCTGGTCAGATAGGTCCGAAGCCCAAATGGTTTCTGTTCCATTCAACAATTTGACCGTTTTGACCGATCTGGCCGTGTTAATGGAAAGCGCCCATAGATTCCAGGTTTTCTTAACATGGTGTTTGAAATTCGCACCTTGTGATCATCTTCTCTTTCAAGTACCATAATCTTTTCATTGAGTGAGAAACCTTCCTCTATTAGTTTCATAGAGAGTGTAAAAAATTCTGACACAGGCCCTGGCCCAACAGCTGGTCCCCCGTCAAATCTGACTCTTAGTGTTCTTTTCAGAGAGATGTCCTTGCTTTTGTACAAGGCAAGGATATCACTATACTGCTCTCCTTCCATTCTGTCAAGATGAATTCTAAGCGGTGGCCCTGATTCCTTGTTCTGTTGACGGAATTTAGCCAAGGATTCTCTAATTGTACTACATGCGACTGACGAATCTGAAAAAAGAATGCTTAATTAATAATCATTGTCTATGCAATCAAGGTAAATCCCACCGCTACCGGTCTACTATCTACAGTACTGTAACTTATATTTGTTCCATATCTGTAACTTCATTTGCCTGGTTGGTCGGATGATTTTATTTGTCAAATAACGAGTACCGTCAGTTAATGGGCAAAAAGAGTTTTAATTGTAATAAATGCAAAGGGAATCTATTTGACCTGGCAATGTTGGATGTGAATCCGATTGTTTGTCAAATAACAGCGAAGGGGCAGCTACTTCATCACCATAACATGCTGTTAAAGCAGAGATAACTTCGTCGCATGGCCATTCACATGAGGGAAAACAGCACGCAAAATTCTGTTGCTTCCTTTGATGGAGTAAACACACATGGGTTCTTTACCACAGATGTTGAAGGTGACGAGGCAGTTGACAAATCAACATCTTTATACTGCTGTAATATTATATTTTTATCTCTTACTATAGATATTACACAATCATAAAATCAACCGAGCCACCTTAAGTAAACAATATGAATACACAACTATTTTAAATTGCGTTCAAAATGACTTACACAATTTTCATGGAATACATATCGTTTATGTGTGTAGGTTCAATTGTGGCCAAATTGCTCATCAAAGATGTTAATGTTTATTTCCGGCACAATTATAGGACAAAAAATCCAAATAATGATGTATTTAATACGGTCTCCTCAGGCACGTAGCTTAAGGATGTAAAATTGAAGGGGGGGGGGGCTATTTACTAGGGGGCAGTTGTTGATGAAAACTGAAAATGTTAACTCTAACACAAAATATAACTCGACACTTCACAGTTCATTTTTCATTTGTCTTTCTTGTTGAATTTAATTTTGTATTTTTGTTTATGATTATTTTAATCAATTAACTTATGATAATATGTTTTGGCGTATTTAAACAATATTTGAAACCACTTCAGAACTTTTTCTTTGGGGGGGGGGGGGGCGACCGCACTCCCATAGCTACGCGCCTTGCCTGCTTATACGTAGTTAGCAAGCATAATATGTTGGCTAAGCTATTTACTTTGCATTTGGTAGTGTATGTGACATTATATACATTGAATGAGTAAACACGGACCCAACTTTTCCAAACCCGTTTGAAGGGCATTGCCATTGGGCGTCTTTTCCCTTGATTTCCCAAGCAAGAAATAGTCTATGCTAGCAAGTCTTTAATTTCAAAAGGAGCTACGCTTAGATCTAATACTAGAAATGCATGTATGCAGTAAACCCTCGCCAATATTTTCCAAACATTAAATTAACATGAAGTATTCAGAAATGGCCCACTGAACGCAGGTTCGTGCTCAAGTGTTGTCATGACAACACGATATTCTTAAATTTTTAATTTTTTTATATTTTATGTACAAAACTGCAAAATAGTTGAAAGATTCGTACTTTTAACTATACAACAATAAATTTCCGAAATATAAACTGTAGGTATATATTATTTTGCATTTTGTGAGCTTTGATTTAATGTAAAATTTAACTTGAAACGCTTCGTAAAATGTTTTGAAATGTTCATTCAACTATAGTTCATTTTCCGATATAAACCTAATAATAAAACATAATCAGTTCCAAATAAAACAAATTGTTAGGTAATTTCAGTTCAGTCTTCAAATCAATTTGTTCTCCTTTACATTTTAAGATTTTTTTCTCAAATTAAACGGTAATGAAACTTAGAGCTTCGTTGAAAAGGAAAACAGTTCATGTTTTTAGGCAAAAAGTTTAAAGCAACAAAATTCGTAAACATACGTACTAAACATTAAATTAAATATTCAAAGCAAACTTGCCGTATATTTCACGATTTCCCATAGTAAATCAATTCTTCCAATTTCTTCAAACAAAATTGCTTCAAGCTTGTTGTTTATGAAACAATTTTCCGATATATATATGTCTTTTAAAATTGAAATCTTGCTCATCCCACTCCTACAAGCAATCAGTCATATTTTTGAGATCAGTGAGGATGACCACCCAGTGAGGATGGCTAATGCTTTCGTTTCCCCGGGTGCAAATAGCCGGGGGGAATTAGTACCCTCGCACGGCGCTTCGCGCCGTCGGCTCGGGGATAACTCCAAAGCTAGAAGTAAATCGAAAACAGTAACGTAACTTGACATATAGCTTTTTACACCTTTCTATCAATGAACTGAAAACCCAATTTGGGTTTATATTTTAGGCACGTTAACTCTCCAAAACATACGAAAACTATTAATTAAATTATAATAGTAACACAATAATATTTGAGAAATATCATTTTGTAAACATATGTTCGATTGTAAAATGTGTACACTGCGGGAAAAAGATAATGTTCGCAACCAACCTTTCATTCAAATCTGAGTCTTGAGCCTTAGATGGGCAGTTAAGTTTGTGTGACTTGATTGTTGATGGTGAAAAAGAAACTCCACATGTTACGCAGTCAACCTTAGGAACATTGGTGGTGTTCTAAACGATATTTAAATTATTGAATTTATAACAATAATGTGATAAAATAATTTTAATGAAGAAAGTATCATGGAAGAAAAAACACACAACTTCAAATTTAGGTTGTTAACCAAGCTAGCTTCAATCGGTTCTTGCTTTTTTTCATTAGGGAATGATTTTATTTGCATTATTGGTAGGGTGCTGGCAATTTATAGACTAGACTGCATGCTGGACAACTTTCGAAAAAATCTCTTCACTGGACACTTTCATGAGTCTGTTCCAAAAATGTTGCATTTTGAACTACTATACTTGTGTATATAAAAACACAACAAAAAAGAAAAGTTAATTAATGCATACATAATCAACATCTTCAGGAGCGCTGTCCAATTTAACATGTAAAGGTTTATGTACAAGACTGCTTGACCAATACAAAGTGTCTCTCGGATGTAGCGTATTGAATACCCATTTAGGCCAAGTGGTAAGCTCTCTAGATGTCTTGGTTCGGATTCTCCACCAATACCCTTTAAGAACCCAAAGCCACCTCCTGACTTAAGTTTGGGGTAACTTGCTTCCAGGAGATTAACAAGGCCATTATGATCAGCATCTTTACTCGGAAAAACAATTTTTCATTTTCCAAGACGAGCCATTCTTAACTGGTCTATTTCCACATTCGTTTGGTGTTTTTGTGATGCTGGTGAACTCAAAAAGCAGAAATATGAGTTCATGTCTCTTTTGCTGTAAATGTAGCCTACTAGACCCAGAATATGTTCTAGACATTTTGGGAGGAATGCTGGCTATATTTGAACCTTTTTGGTCTTGTCTGGTTTCGAGCACACAAACCAGGGAATGGACAATCCTGTGAACATTCTTGTGAACATAATTAATAACATTAAGATACATGTATAATACATATATATATATATATATATATATATATATATATATATATATATATATATATATATATATATATATATATATATATATATATATATATATAGAGTTAAACTAACCCATTATGCTGTCTGGAAATAATATATATCAAACTCGAGAACATTTAATGTAACCGACGATGCCGAGATCTAGGCTCTTTGTGCAGAGTTCTTGGCAAGGCGAGTTACTCAGTTGTACCATGTACACAGTTCGCCAGGTAAACTATTTATACCAGGTATATTGAATACCTAAGAACTAGATTGGGCCGAGTATCTCGCCTATAGCCAGCAAGGCGAGGGTTTCTGCATGCATTTATTTTCTAGTAATAATAATAAAAAATTAATGTGCGTAAAATTATGTGTCAATCAGTCTAATCTCAGTAGGGCATAACGATCCCAGATCCCATAATGGTTGGCCGCAAGATTTGCTTTTCCTATCCCATCACCATGTGCGATTTTTTTCCACCCTCTCTTTCGCAGCATTTTTTTTCAATAGCTTATACTATTTATATTCTTTAATTATAGTTATCGTTGAGTTTTCTAGCTTCATGGATTGCTTTTAATAATACATATTGCTATGAGGTATAACATTTGGTTCAGGGCTTCGTTTAAGGATGTGTAACTGGAGGGGACATATTTAGCGGGGGACCTGGAGAAGTTCCAGTCGGCAAGTCTGTATCACCGCAGCTATACCTGCAGCATATAAATGCATGGTTTAACTAATAAGTATATACGTCATAGGGCAGCAGATCAGGCCATAACTAGGATTCTGAGATAACCGAGTCGACCACCGAAGGTGCGAGTCTCTAGATGGCTCTGTGAGCATGCCCCCCAGAAAATTTTGGATTTCTTGAAGCTCAGATAAGCTATTTCCAGTATTTTGAGGAGTTTTCGAACAAGAAATTAACCTTACACTAGTTCCTGAACATCAAACCAGCTGATCTTCCGGGACTATTCAAATCGGTCCCTGCAACCATGCTGTTTTGCAACATTTTTTCCCACCAAATACTGGGGCAGGATATTTTTCCCCCCAGATTGTTAGTGCAGGTATTTTTTTTTCAGAATAGCCTTGCAGGAAATTTTTTCAAAATCAACCCCCCCAAAAGTTCAATGGTCGGCCCTTAGTCATGCATTACTTTAATCCCCGAGCCAACTGCGCGGAGCGCCGTTCCAGGCGTAAGCCGGGGCGAGGGTACTAATTCCGCCCGGCTATTTACAGCGTGGGAAACGAAAGCATTAGCGAAGTGAAAAGTTCATCAATGATCGCCGGCGTGGGTGGCCAACGATTTTGAGTGAATGGTCATCCTCACTGATCTCAAAATATGTGGCGGACTGTCTTGAATAGCGAACACTGATTGGTGAAATTTAAAATTTGTTGTTGTAGGACAAATGACGACAGAGAAATAACAAACATTTCTTGCAAATCAGCGAATATATTGTGTTTCAGCGTCAGCTGTTTCGTATATCCATATCTTAACTACCCACGACTGCTTAACTACCCACTTAACTGCAGTCTACCGACTGCTCAGGCACCGATCAAAATGCTGCATTTCACGTGCATTCTAGTGCTTCTCCACCATTATACTATTAAAGTAAGAATATATCTAAAAAAAGAACAGCAAAAATAAATTCGTCGGAAAAAGTTTGTGCGGGATATAAAATGCTTATAAAGTTCGTCTGATTTTGTTATCAAACGATTCACTATATAACTGTACAGCTAATTAAGTATGCATCTTCGGATGTTCCTGCATACATGCTGTCGTATAGCGTGATATCCTAAGGCTGGTGGCTTATCGCTTTAACCGTTTTAAATTTAGTATTTTATTCCAGAAATAAAAAAATAAGGCTTGCCGCAGGGATTTATTCTACACGATTTTGCGCTCCTTAATTCAATTCGTGTATCAGTCAGAAATGCATCCAACATTGGGAACAATTACCTATTTTATACAGTAATTTCCCGGTCAAAATAATTATATATATTTTCAATTGCTGTAAATGAAAAATGTCTAATCGAATTATCGACTATTCTTTATTAAGCATGTCTGCTCATGCAGTTTAGATTTTATCTTTGCTTATAGCATAATCAAACCTAATAATTTTCGGGCTGATATCACGTACAGAGTGACTGGGATTCCAAAATTCGTAATTATTAAAAACATAATAACCTTGTTTTCCCCCTGAGTGCGTCACACACTAATGCAGATTAAATATTTATCACTCCATGTTGAGAGCGAGTTTTTATAATAATTATATTGCATGATACGTGCACCAGTTCAAATATTCGTACATGTGTTTGCTCACATTATCCAAGGAAGAAGATTGAATGCAATTGCTAACAAACGGAACAGTGAGAGAATAGAGAATAAATGTAGTAACGAGAAAATGACGTTTAGGATATATGTATTGCTAAAACTTATGTTCATAAGTATATTTTCCTGCTCATCTTGTCATGGCGAAAAACAGCCTAGTGGCCTGTTTCTTTTGAAGAAGAAAGGTTAGAATGATACTTATCGAGTAAATGACAAGCAAAATTCGACCAAACAGGTCATGAATGTGCTGTATATTGCCTGCATTGTCGCTATCTCAAATTTCAAAATTTCAATTAGAAGATTTTCATTTTAGTCCCGGGGATGAAATGAAATCAATTTCATAAATTTCGAAGTGGATTTCGTTGAATTATGAATTTTCAGTCTTTCTGATAGGAAAAGTCTTGCGATAATTCACAGTAATTAAAATACAACCGCAAATATAAAGTAACGTACGTAGCTAACTAATTTGTTTTCTTCCGCCTATTTTCATGTTTCATTTACTCGTCAAAACTGAAATAAAAGTTTGTTGGAGGTTAAACTTATTGAAACGAGAACAACACATTTTCAGATATTTCTATATTAAAGGACGAGAACAGTGTATAGTTTTAATCCGGGGACAACATATATTTTACGACGCAAAGTCTGCAAATTTCATGAAGGGTTCGAGGGATACATGCGGCCAGAGCAAAATGTACGTTTTGAACGATTTTCTCAAGTTTTACTATACTTTATTATACGCCGATGTACTATGAAGTGAACTTGAATAATGGAACAACTTATAGGTAAGATTCCGATGCGAAATTTTTCTGTTTTACGGTCCAGATATAGTTTATATTATTGCAAAGTCTGCAAATGACATAGCTATCATCAAACAAGTTTAAATTAAAAAAACCCGCACCAGTCCTAATGATTTATATATAACAAATCCGCCATTTTGTTTGTCAATCAGTTCGCACATGCTCAGAATCAATGTCCGTAATTTCTGGCCATGATGGGAAAAGTAGCTGTCGAGTATATTTCTGCTAGCATTTTAACTGTTATATAAGAAACATATTTATACAAAGTAAATTATTTTAACCCAAAGTAGAGTAGACTAAAATAGTTTGTTAATTATATTACCGCTAAAATTCATTCAGGTCATATAATTTTTATAGTCTATATCCTACCGGGAAGTAGTTATTAAAGATTTCATTTTTTCTTCGCGAGTGACCAACCTTATACGTATAGCGGTCCATCTTATAGAGACATAAGAAACACATGATGCATGACGCATGCCGTTTTCAGCGTGCGTCTCAACCTTGTTGAAAATTATGTCATCACTTATATATTCTAAAATACTTCTATATACGTTTAGCAATACAGCTGAGCATTTTGGACTGAAAATTAAAACGAATAGGAATACATTGGAAAATCTAAATATTGTGAAAAACCTAAAACAAAGACAAACAACATTTACCTCGAATTTTACGCTTAGACACAAGCTAGTGTTAAAGACAATGAAATCATAAGCAACTCTATAATCAATATTTAACAGTTATTCCACGAACTCGAGTCGAATATGAGCTGATAGCTTACCTAGCTTAGCTGATGAGCTGATAGTTTTTTGCTACGTACTAGCAGGATATGCGCTAATATCCTACTAGTAGAGAACCAATCAGATTGCAGAATACCTCATATCCAGACCTTGTGTATATAATAAATGGCTATACTTGAAAGCGAAAACAATTTGGAATGGAACTATAAAACGCAGTAAAACTTGACAGCATTCGTTGTATTTGTGACATTACGGATTTTGGATAAGTCACATATACTCAGTGACTGCATGGCGTCAGCTGTTTTGTATATCCATACCTTAACTAAACCGATATCAATGAGTGGTCTATATAGTGCAGGTCACCGACTGCTCATGAACCGAGCAAAATGCTCAATTTTCAGGTATAATGCTACGGCTTCACCATAATTATAATATTAAAGTAAAATTATCTAAAAAGAGAACAGCAAAAATAAATTCGTTGGAGAGACTTTGTGCGCGGAATAAAATGCTTACAAAGAAAGTTCGCCTGATTTTGTTATCAAACGAGTCATTGTGCAGCTACTTATGCGTATTCGGATGTTCATGCATGCTGCCATATAGCGTGATATCCAGAGGCTGGCTTCCCGCCTTGACCGTTTTAAATTAAGTATTTTATTTCAGAAATAAAAAAATAACGTTTGCCGCACAGATATAATATATTCTACACTATATTGCCCTTCTTAATTCAATTGGTGTATGTGTCAGCAATGCATCTAACCTTGGGAATAATGACCAATTTTAGCTGTATACAGTATAATTTCCCGGTCAGAAAATGAAAAATGTCTGATCGAATTA